AAAAAAAATAACTAGGTAGGTTGGCTTTAAGGTATCCCAGATCATATGATCTATTATATTGACCTTGTGTTAAGTTTTGACAGCCTCTGGGTTCTACCCACACCTGCAAGTCCCTTCATCATTGGTCAGAAGGGAACCACCTCAAGCACACTCAGAACATGTAGCTTCCTAGACACAACCATAGAGGCTGAAGCTCAGTCCCCAAAGCCCAATATCAGACAAGACAGAGTCTCTCCATTTCTGAACTAAGAGGGCAAGTGCACAATTGGTCAAATTCAGACTGAACTATATGTATTTTATGTATTTGGTATAGGGTCTACAGGGTCTCACTACATAGATTGGACTCGTAGTGATCCTCCTGTTTTTAGCCTCCCAAGAGCTGGGATTACAGGTGCGCATCACCACGCCCAGTCTCATTTTCCAGCTCCACGCACCCCGGGAGGAGATACACCAACTATGCAGAGTTGGAGAAGAATGGATAGAGAGTAATTCTGTGATCCCTGGCTTCAGGTGCACTTTGAGGGTCTAAAATGGTTGAGAATGAAGTGTTTGGTACTTGGAAATTGGATGATTGATGAAGAACTTTTAAAGTGCTGTGACATTTTCTTTCCAGAGTCAGGCATAAGCAGATTTAAGTAAACTGCTCTGAGAATTTTACTCCTGGAGTCTATGGGAAACTGGGTTTTGACCCATGTTTGAAAAGCTATGAGTGGAACTGCATGCAAGGGATGGTGGCTACACTTGCAACAGACTTTCTTCCACTGGTGATAGTGTGAGATACACATTTCATGTGGGCCAGATCATGGTAGTGGGGGAGAGAGCCAATTCGATGCCAACTGAAAGGGATTTTGTACAACATAGTACCTGAACAGACAAGGAGACTCAAACAGAGGTGGGGTTATATGTTCCTTTATTTATTTATTTTTGGCTGGCTCAGGCCACCTTAAGGGAGGGTCTGGTGCACCATGTGGAGCTGGGGATTGAACCGAGGTCCCCTGCACCTGACTGAGTTTGCTCAAGCAGGTGCTTTAAACAACTGACTTAACCCACAAGCACCTCCCCCCTTTTTTGTGGCTTTTGTTCCTTTAAACCCCAGGCAAGAAACAAGCCTGAAGCCCAATGATCATTTAAAATATTGCTTCTTGCAAAATTATGGATTAATTCTGACTTGATTCTTAAAAATATTTTTAATAGGGTATTATTTGTTAATGATTCCTTTTATATAGCTTATATTTCATTTTTTTCTGCAAAAGTGCTCAAGTTTTATTCTTATTACCTTTTCTTTCTTATAAATTCCTTCAGTCCTTGAAGTAAATTTCAAACCTCACTTACTGAATTGGCTTCAGGGCCACTAATAATTTACAGCAGAGGGGTAGTTTTACTATATTTAAGCAATCTTCATTTGACTAATTGTATTTTTTTGGCTTTCTTAGTGTTTTATTTTAAAATCTGATACATATTTACCAGTGAAATAATTATACATTTTGCACAAAATCAACTAGTTTCTGCAAAAAGTTCCTAAGATAGATGTGTTTCTTGTTTAATTTCCAAAAAATAACGGTTCCCTAAGTGAAAGCATTTATATTCCTACAGCTCTAAGGTAAACATTAAAAAGAAAATACAAAAAAAAAATCTCTTGGCTTCTGAATAGCTCACTCAGTTACATAAAGTGTTTTCTGTTCCAATATTTTATCAATTTAAAAGATGCATACTCCCTTCAAGCAGGACAAAAAGAATCTTCATTTCAAACTGTCAGTCTGTTTCCATGGTAACATTGCAGGACTCCTTGGCTACCATAAGTAGCATCAGCTGCCTGTGGAACTTCTCAATCTTCATTACATCTTGAGCTTGATCTGTTCTGTACACTAAACAAACTAAATTATCTGTTACTTTAATACACAAATTTCGATTAATGTGCCTATATTTGAGAACCACTCGTGCCCTCATGGGGTCCGCGGGGTAGAGCTTGCCGCAGCTGCCCGAAGCCGCGACGCTCTTGACTAATTGTATTTTAACCAGCTGAATATGGCTAGAATTCAAGTTTTATTTTTCTTCCATAATTTTATTGAGAAACAAATAGCAATGAGACAGTTTCAAACCAAATTGGTAGGACAGTTTCAATAATTAACACATTGC